CCTATTCAACCCATTGCCCAGAATCTCACACTAGAGAGTATCAGAAAGGGGATTTGAACCCACTTTTGCCTGACTTCAAAAGCAGAGCTCCTAACTAGTCACTGAGCTTATCACATCAACGAGACTCCACCCTCCCCCGACCCCATCCTGAGCAGCTGCTTCTTTGCACATGGGACAAAGAGCTTGCTTCCTTTTGTCTCCAGCATGAACAGTGCCTATCGCTCTTCCTGTGTCAGGAGGTAATGAACATGCTCCTCCCCCCACATCCTGATTTCCCAGGCAGGGGAGCCGCCTGTTGAACAGGCCTGCAATTAGACACAGCAAGATGCACTAAAGCAAGTATCACCAGTACAAAGCATTAGACAAAGGAAAAAAGCAAAGCAAAACAAAAAAAAAACACCTTGAATTCTGCAATTATCTCACGCAGTAGCAATGGAGCCAGAAGAATCCCTTGGAGAGAGAAAAGAACTCATTGCTGTTTTTCTGGCCTACAACATGAGCGATAAGAAAAATGGAGGTATAGCCGGCTAGGATTCTTCCAGAATTGAATCTCAAGTGGTCGTTAGATATTTTATTTTATTTTATGCAGGGTAATCAGTGATTCAGAGCAAGGGGCGTGGTCTTAGTAATTAGAGGCCAGAGAGATCACTCAGGCACTGAGCTCGCTTCTAACAAAACCATGACAGAAATACTCTCCAGGGTTTAGGGGGATGGCGGGGGAGGGAGGGGGGTAAATCCGCAACTAAAGGACACGGAGAGCACTGTGGGGGGGAAGGGCATGCCTTTAACCTGCGCTTGGGTGAGGCAAAGACATAAAGTGTAACCATAATGTTTGTACGCTCACAATACCCTGAAATAAAAACAACAACAACAACAACAAAAAAACCTGATGACTTGTCACAGCCCCGCATTTATCTCTTCAGGCTACACTTTGTCCTATCTGGACAGGGAAGAAGATCATTTCATGTTTGCGTTGGAAACGTACTGTGCTGGGAGTCAAGGCTTCTCTTGCTGGGAAAAAGCTTTCCAAAACATGTCGGTTCTCTTTTTGATTCCAGGTAGCCCAGCTGCGTGCGCTCTGGGCTGGGCATCCGGGACTCTCTCTCATCTCAGCATAACCATCCACATCTCCCGTGGGGGTGGTGGGGGTGGAGGCATTCAGTTCCAGGCCCTCCCCATACCTGAGATTCTCCCTGATTTGCCCTCTTTTCCCCACACCTGCCAACTCACCTTTCAGCAGACAACAAGACCTTGGAGCTCTTCAAGCCTTAGTTTACCCAGGTACAAAAGGGCGTTAACAACAACCCTATCACGAAGTTATCGAAAGGATTGAACACCCCCAGGATGATGGCTAACATTTAATAGTATCTACCCTGTGCCAGGGTCTGTTCTAAGAGCTTTCTTTACCCATATTAACTCATCGAATTCCCACAACAACCCCATACGGGGAAGCATTTTTAGGTGTATTTCATTTATTCTAAGATACGCCTTTTCTTTCTGCATTTTAAACACCTCTGAAACTGGGACACATCTTATGATTGAAAGCAAGTGATGGTTTAATTCATAGGGTTTTCTTTCTTAATGGCACAAGAAAATTATGAAGATGATGTACCTTGAAATGAAAGGGTTCCTGGATTAGATAAAATGCGACGCACCTGTTTCGCAGAGCAGAGAACTGAGGCACAGAGAGGGACTGATTTGCCCGAGGTCACACAACCTACTGAGTGGCAGAATGGGGGTTCAAACCCACATAGTTTGCTGAGGAATCTGCTCTTTTCAACATTAAGCTAGGATATGAGCAAAACATCCAGAATGGTTCCTAGAAGTTTCAGCATCTGCCCAAATTAGGGATGCTTCTTTTCTCACTGGGTTTTTAATGACAGCAAGCCATAAACTTCAGGCACCAAGAGACAGAGCTTGTATAAAGGATTTCAAACCTTTCTAGTTTTTGCCAAATGCTATTTCTGCATTTCCATTCTAGAGCGTGGAGGTGGGATTATAAGCACCTCTGTTTTTTAGCCTTTTCCACGGCAGAAATTGTAGGTCCATGATAATTCCACACAAAACCTGCTTCTTCCCTCCCCCATGTCTAATCTCATTAGTCTTCTTGTGCTTCCTTGGGAAACAAAGGAAAAAGGGACTCTCTAAACAGATTAGGGAGCCCAACATAAGGGCAAGCTAGAAGGTTTCTTCAACAAAAGAGCTTCAAACAGAGGATTTGCATATGTTATTTATATTTCCTCAGTTGAAAAAAAAAAAAAAACAACACATGAAGATGCTGTCCAAGGCAGGTGCCAGTTTAACATTGGTTATGATACAGTAACCACCATGCCTGGGAGAAGGGGAAATGGCTGGTTTTGGAGGGCTTTGGTTTTTTTCTAAGAGTGATCCATAACACTCGCATGCAGTGGATTCTTAGTGTTGCAGCCCAGGGTGGCCACACCTGTTTCCTCTGAGATGCCAGATAACTCCTCGGCTCACTCCTCATGGGACATTTACCTGGCTGCCTGGCATTTTGTTTTTCTGTTTCTATGTGTCACTCCCTCTCTTCCTCCAAACAAACCTGGAAACTATTTGAAACTACGGATTGTGCCTTACACCTTCTTTTTGTAGCCCCTGAGACACTGAACAGGACAACCATTTATCATGGCTCGATTAGCATGGAGGGGTGAAAAGGGCTTGAACTCTGGAGCCAGACAGATCCAAGTTCAAATCCCACCTCTGTTCTTTGCCAGCTGGGTGTCTTTGGGTAAGAGACCTGTCCTTTCTGAGCCTCCGTGTTGCCATCTATCTCATGAGGAGGTCACAGTTCATACCTCGAAGGATTGTAGAAGATTCTGAAATATCACATTTTTTGTAGAGAATTTTTAGCTCAGAACGTGGCACATGGTGAATACGCAATGCATACCAACTGTCCTCATCATCATCACGATTGCAGTTATTAGCTTGATTTACCGCAGACATCAGTCCTAATCTCTACATATTTTTTGTGCCTTGTCACTCTCTAGTTAGCCTACATTGTGCTAATTAATGCTTTACTGTAGCTCTACAAACTTGAAATTCCTAATGGCATGATCCGTTGCACGTGAGCCAAAGACACCCTGGGGTCTTCGTTATTCCCTAGAAAGTGGGGTGGGGACAGAATGACTTTGATAAGGATTTTGTGCCTGAGATCTTAGTCTACCCAACAGTTCCCCGGAAACTTGCTTCCTGTCCCTTGACTTCCCTGCGTCCCACTACCCTCCTCCCAGGAAAGAAGTGATCATTTCAACCTCTGTATCTTCCTTCACTCTCTTCATCTCTCTATGCCAGGAGGAAAACCCTATTGCATTTCCTTGAGTACATGGCTTCATTCCTCCCCAAATTCCACACACGCATGCACGCGTACAAACCAGTCTGAGTTAGCTGTCCCTTTTCTTTGCTCCTACAACAGCCTATGTTACTTCCCTAGCATATCATTAATCACCCCGCATTATAATGATGTTTCTTATCTCTTTCACTCACCGTCTCAGACACACTATAGATTGTGAGATTTTTAAAGGCAAGTCTCATTTTTTCACAAGAGCAAGTGTTTAGCACATAACAGGGGTTCCATAAATCCTTGCTAAATAAATGAAATAGCAATATAACTAAAATCTGGGGTGTTTCTACTACGTCTCAGGAACTGTGCTAGGAGCTTTCGGCATACCTCTACTCATTTAATGCTCGTGGCGATCCCACGAGGAGGTGATATCCCCATTTTACAGACGGTGACACTGATGCAGAGGAGGTCTGCGACTTGCCCAAGGCCACAGGGCTGCTAAGAAGCAGATCCAAACCCAGGCTGTTTGTGTCCTCTGCCCCTGCTCTGAGGCTCATCCTCGCTGCTGAAATGTCTGTCTTCCTTCTCATTCTTTCTCTCATCCTCTTTCCCCCACCTGCTATGCTGGGAAGTTCAGTCCCAGAGGGAGCTGCTCTAGATCAAACACACTTCGGGCCTGCATTTTGAGATGAAGGGAAAGGTGGGAAGGCTGTATCTTGCAGAGTGACCTCACTAAGTGGGCTGAGCGATGAGGGATGCAGAGATGTGTTAAACCTTAGAGACAAGCAGCTTAGGAACATTTTGGACCCACATGCAAAATACTGGTCAGTTTCAAGCTCCACTCTGTGTACTGATGCCCCCACTCCCCAGGTCTTCCTCCCTGGAGCATTTCTGTGAGCCACAGGGTGTGCCACCGTGGGTGCACCAGAGCGGGACGGACCAGCATCGCCCCTCTCCCATTGCCTACCTTGGGAAATCCACGCAACATAGGGGTTTGAGAGTACAATAACAAAGGCACACTTATAATTATGCCTACCCAGTTATGATCATTTAAAAACAGAAACCCTTGACTCCCGTCACTCAGTACATACCAATTTTTCTTTGTTTTTCAAATCAACAACACTGTTTCAAGTCCCATATACACATTATCAAGCGTTAGCATCACACTGGGCAGTTTCCATATCTTACTCCATTTAGTCCTCACACTGTTTCTGCCTAATCGATGTTCCTCTTCTAACTTCATAGACACAAGAATTGAAGGCTCAGGAATGCTAAACCACTTGTCTAATGTCCCATAGCTGGTGAGCAGCAAGCTCAGCCTTCAAACCCCAAAGTTCGACTCTCTGCAGCCTCTCCACAAAGAGAGGGGCTGTGTATGTTCCCCGAGTCCCACGGATCTCTGAAAATAATTTCTGCAGCAGGAAATATACAATTTTTTCCCCTGATGTTCTACAGTGTTACTATTGATTTATTCCATCATTTTGGAATTACTGGCTAATGGGATGGCCCAGCTCACTGTTCTGGTTCGTGTTTTCATTCTTTAAGCGAAACCAACCATTGATAGCAACAGGAATGTGTCATGACAATTTAACTACACCAGGACCTTTCTCTCTTGCCCTCCCTTGTTGGTCCAGAGGCTAATCCCTGTTTCACTTGTTCTTGAAAACATGACCGGTTTCGGCACAGAGGGGAGACTTACCTGCGCTGGATTCTCTGGGGCACGGAAGGTCCAGACAGCCCCTGCGTTGGGGGAACTCTGCAGCTTCTTGGTGGCTGGTACGTTGGGCATCTTAAAAATCCTTCAGGCTTTAGCCTGTGACTCCAAGGGAAGAGTTTTTTTCAGAATCTTCTACTTCGGCAGCCACTGGTGTGAAAATTTCCAGCAATTTCTCCCTGATTCTTTATTCCCGATGACACGGACTCCAAAGGCGTTTCTGTTTGAGGAGGAATGGGGAAAGCAAGACATTTGAGTCTCTCACAGACAAGAGAAGGAAGTCCGGATAGGGCGGAATCAGGCAAGCCTGGAATTTTTCACGTTTTGGAAAGTTACAAACTTTTATAAGCTTTCCCCTTCTTCAGAAGGGATATCTCTCTCTTCTATAAGCAAAATAAAATATGAACTAAAAAAATAAAACTCCAGTGACAAAGTGTAAGGGGGGCTCTATGGGGGGCCCTGAGACCCCATCTTCCAAGAGTGCCTGGGAGCTACAGCAGCCCCAGCGGGGGCTTAGCCGCGCCCTGACAGGGAGAGTAAACGACCTCTAACTGCAAAGAAGGGTACCAGGGGGTTGTTTAGCAACGGGACGCCGAGGAGGCCGTTCTCATTGGCTGGGATTCGTGGGGGCGGGGTCGTGAACTCTGCTCTGCTGCTGGGAGGCAGGCTCTGAGCTGGTGGCTGGCAGGAGAGCGGACATTCACCAAACTGGTTTCTCTGCTCAAGACTGAGGATCCCCACCCCTCCTCTCTGCCTAACTACAAGCGACTCCTTCCTTTCAAACTCTGTTCTGTACTGCCGCTAACTCAGGAGTGATTGCTTGTGCTTTGGGGTGGGTGGCATTTAGCCCTGCAATTCTTAAACTGAGATCCCTACTTTTCCCCTTTTTCCACCTGACAAACTCCTACTCATCCTTCAAAGCCCATATAGAGATATAAGTATGCACACATGTACATATATACGCATATATACACAGATATGTGTATATATGTATGTGTGTGTATGACATTTATTGAATGCTTAGAAAATGTGCTAGGCAATGTTCTGTTTTACATGTATGAACTCAGTCCTCACAGCACCCCTTTAAGGAAGGTGTTTTATTATCCTATTTTCGAGACTAGGCAACTTAGGTAAAGACATTAAATGACATGCTCCAGGACACACAGCAAATGCCTGAGTTGGTGTTCAAAGCCAGAACTGTATGATTCTAAAGCCCAAGCTCTTAACCACTTAGGTGCCTAACTTTGCTGAGCTTTGGCTTTCATATCTTTAAAAGGAGGATGATAGCGTCACCATAGGTTATTAAGAATTAAAGTAGATAATGTATATAAAGGCTGAGCACATGGGAGAGTCCTAGTTAAGTGATACTATTATTATTCCCTGACATTAGTTCCCTAGGAAGAATTAGGTGTTCTTACCATGCTGGGTTTGTTTCACAGAAAATATTAATATTACCTAATTTTTATTGATCACTTGCTTTGCGTTAAGTACTGTATTAAGCACTTTACGTACATTAATTCATTTAATCCTTCCAATAACCCTATGGGGTAGGTTCCCAGCCTACGGCAGATTTATTGCACATGTTTTGATTTGAATGCTTTCTCCTTGGCATTATTTTACACTGGATCGATCTGATTCATGTTTTATCCCTAAACCTTGAGCTGCTGAGGATTATGAAATCATCATGGCCTCATCTTCTCCCTAGAAGGCGTCTACTGCAAGATGACACTCCACAGAATGTAAAACACCTTGCCACACAGCTCCCGATGCTGATGCCTGAGAGTCATTATTTTCTCACCATTGTCTGCAGACTGAATCTGACCTTCCCTTTCACAGGAAGTTTTGGTCCTCCTGCTTCCTTTGTGGGCAGCAGTAAGCAATCAGCAAGTGCTTTCAGAACAATGCAGATAAATGGAATCATGTTCAGAAGATAGGGCTGGGGAGGAGGGGATGAGAAAACAAGATAGGATGGGAAATGTTCAGCCCTGAGCAGAACAAACAAAGGCTTGTCTTCATAGGGTTTTGTGGGACAGGCTTGGAGAAAAGGGACCCAACTAGTTTTGTAAGAGCCCAAAGAATAGGAGGAGGGTTTTGGCTTGATGTGAGGAAGTACATATGCAGCAGCAGATCATTTTAAAAGGTGTGAGCTCTGGAGTTGCACTGACTTGGCCACTGACTATGATGAAAACCAAATGAGATAATCCACGCACGGCACAGTGTTAGCACAAAGGAAATGCTCAATACATGTGAGCTCTTATTTCTTATTAATATTCACCTGTAAGAGCCACGTGAGAATTGGAAGTAGGAAGGGCTCTTGAATTGAAAAGACCTGTGTCCAAACCCTGGCTCTGCTGTTTACTGGCTGTAAGACCTAGGTCAAGTCACTTCACTTCTCAAAGCTTCAATTTTATCATGTATATAAAATTCATGTACAGTGATGGTTATGCCCATCTTATACCTGTTACTTGAAGTACTAAGTAAAATGATAAATGTATAGAACCTAATACCCACTAAAGGCTCAATACATTTTATTTCCTTTATCTGTCCAGGAAGGGTCTATTCTATAGGGAGGGAATGAGCTCCCCAGAACTAGAGGTATTCAACCAAACGCCACATGGCTTCTTGATGGGTGAAAGAGACTCAAATGATCACTTGGGGGATATTAGACTTGGTAACATTTAAGGCTCTTTCCAAACAGAACTTGAGAGACAATATGGAATACTAGTTGAGCCAGTATTTAAATCCCAACTTGGCTACTTACCCACTGTGTGACTTTAACCAAGTAACTTAACCTCTCAAAGCTTTAATTTTCTCATTACAGAATGGGGATAATAGTACATACATTAAAATGATATAATGTATATAAAACATTTAGCACAGTACATGGCATATAATAAATGCTCAATAAATGTTAGCTATTGTTATTTTCTGATCATCTGGACCAAAATATTTTCTAAAATGATCTAGTGCTCTTTGGGGTTAACTAGAGTTAATAAGAAAAACTCTCTGGTCTTATGGCATGTCCCAATCTAGCTGGGTAAAGAAGACATACACACACACACACACACACACACACACACACACACTCAATGAAAGAGTGTACAAGAGGGTATGTCAATTGGGATCTTCCAAAAAGAAGATGCCTGAATGAGATTAGATGTGCAAGAGATTTATTGGAGAAAACAAATGTGAAGGATAAAAGGGAAGGCAGCAGGAGGGGTGGGCAGAGAGAGCCAGTTGCAGGGGAGAAGGAAGGAAGGACTGGGTAGGAAGAGTCACACACTGAGACACAGTTCTCCCTTAAATGCGGAGAGAAAGTTTTGGCCAGGCTGAGGGGGAGCCCCAGAGCCAAAGTTGCCTGATAGATGAATCCTCTATCGGGCCCTGGTTCTAGGACCCCTACCCTGCTCAGTGACGACTGAGAGCAGCTGGGGGGTGGAATGCATGCAAGGGATTCAAAGCATGCAGTGAATGCAAAGACGCAGCACTTGTCAATCAACTATGCTCCCTGCAGTATTCTCTTGGTGAGACATCTGAGCTGGAGGCCCCCCATGGTCATTCCAGGTCATCTTTTGTGCTGCACAGATTCACCTTGGGATGCATGTCCAAGAAGCAGAAATGGGAAGGACACACTCCCTTGGTTGGTCATTGGGCATGAAGGGCAGTGGGACCACTTGTGTTTTCACTTCTTGATTCCTGATGTATGTACTGGTCCTATTGGGGACACAATGCCACATAGAGGTCTCTGGTTTTATGTGTATACTTCAAATTGTAGGATAGCCCCCAATCCTTGCAGTATATTGCTTCCGAGCTGGTGCTTCAGCTGCTCCTTCAACAGACTGGTCCATAATGCTATGAAGTCAGCTGCTTCTGAGTGAGTGATAACGCCTGGATCCCATGGCCACTGTGAAGTGGGTTTCTAGTGCTTAGAGTTTGCTGTGGGCACAGAGGGCAGTGATGGTAGCAGACGTTGTTGGAACCTAGTCCATTCTCCCTCAACACTCACAGTTTCCAAGAGAGCTCCTTGCTGCCTTTTCACCTGAGACCTTCCTCTGGGCCACAGTAAGAGTTCCCAAACATTCTCGGTTCATGGCACTCTTTGCCTGTCAGTAATTTTTTCATGGCACCTCTAAGCCAAGAGAAATATCCTAAGAATCCCATTTTTTAAGTAGTTAGGTCTGTACAACTTCGTAAGTATCTACACCCTAACCATTTGAAAAAAAATACACATATGTTGAAAGAAAATAATATTTGTGTTTGATTCTTCTGATTTTAGTATATGTGCTGCCTAAATGAGCACAATATTTGATTCTTGAATAGCCATAATTGCTTATTAATGGGGTGCGTGCACCTGGCAGCGCACTGGACAACTCCTCACACCTTGGAATCAGATTGGAAACCATCACCTTCATTTTCTGTAGCACATTACTTTTTTGCACAGTTCTCACTTTTTATCACAGCAACTGTGATAAAAACCCAGTATTTCAAAGATATATCATGAAAGGGGTGTCATGTAATCTAATGTTGAAACTGAGTGTATTAGTCAGCTAGGGCTGCCATAACAAAGTACCACAGACTGTGTGGCTTAAACAATGGAAATATATTTTTTTTGCAATTTGGAGGCTAGGAGTCTGAGATCAAGGTGTCAGCACGGTTGGTTATTTCTGAGGACTCTCTCCTTGGCTTGCAGTTGGCTGTCTTCTCCTTATGTCTTCATGTGGTCTTTCCTCTGTACCCATCTGTGTCCAGATTTCTTCTTCTTGTAAGGACTCTAGTCATATTAGATTAGGGTCCACCCTACTGACCTCATTTTAACTTAATTACCTCTCTAAAGACCCTATCTGTAAATAAGGCCACATTCTGAGGTTTTGGGGGTTAGGACTTCAATATATGAATTTTAAGGGGACACACGTAAGCCCACAACATGGAGTTACCTTGAGCTGGTAGCTCACACGGTGTTCAGTAGATATTGCTGTGTTTCCCTCCAAAATTAAAAATACTGCTAGCCTCCTCTGTAAATTTGCTATGGCACCCTGAGGCACCTTGGCACATAGTTAGGGAATGTGTTCTGCCTT